ATTTAATTAAATATATTATTTCATATATTTTATTTTTTAAATATAATTATTACAAACTACTAGATTATAAAAAATATTAATTTAATTTTTTTTATATAAACAATTTTTAATAAAATTATTTTAAGCACATTTTGTATTTTTTTATGTCTTTTTTAATATAATTAACTTATTTTTAAAAAATATTCAGTCTGATAAATTTATTTAAAAAGTATAAGTTTAAAAAGGCGAATAACTATGATTTTATATTTTTGGTTGACTCTCCTCTTTTAATTTTAACAAAATATACATATTTTTTATATAATTTTAAAATCTAGATATAAATATACCCCTTTGTTATAATAAAATTAGACATAAATAAGTATTATGATTTTTACAAAATTGAACTGCTAAAATTTTTATTTAAAATATTTACCTTATATTAATTTAAAAAATTATATTTTTTTAAATTAAATTTTTATTTTTTTATATAAATATTATAATAATTTATTTTCAATTCTATAAAAATTAAATTTTAAAAATCTTAATATTTATCTTTAAAAAAAGTCTTTAATTAATTTTTTTTTGTGAATTCTAAAAAAATATGATGTTTAATTTTATACTAAGGAAAATTAAAAATTTGTATTTAAGTTTTTAATATCGAAAAAAAAACTATTGTTTTTAAAAAATAATTCATATGGTAAATTATAAAAGAATATATAAAATAGAGTTATGTTTTTGAAATTTTAAAAATTTAATTTCCGTTTCGTTTTAATTGGGAGCGAAAAATAAACTTTTGCGACATCCTTATTAATTTAATTAAAACAATAAAAAATAAAGTAAGGTTTCAAACATCAATATCATCATCAAATACATAATCTTCGTTTATATCATCGGCTTATGATTATGCGTCCTAATCATTAATATACTCATTTTTGTTTTTGTTTGCCTAAATAACATCACACCATCTATTATATATATCAATTGGTTAATCTAATGCTAAAAATAATTTAAATAAACATTAATATTGTTTTGGTTATGTTTTTATAAGTTACCTGAAACATCTGTTGTTTCCCATTTATGTTTACATTTTAGGCATGATAATTTCGCTATTTTTTTTAATGTTCTTGTATCCTTCTGACTATTTTTTTAATTTTTGTTAAGTTTTTATAATATTAATTTATACATTTTTATTTCAACAGCTTTATCAGCTGAACATTTTTCACAATCAAAAGCTTTAGGAAGAGTGTATGATCTCAACTTTTTTTCTTTTTTAGTAGTTTTTTTTCTACCACCCATTTTTTTTTTTTTTATTTTTTTAAGAATTATATATAAATATATTAAATTATTTTATAATATATATGATTTGTATAAATTAAAATATATTATTAAATATATATATATATATATATATATATATTTATTTATATATATTTATATTTCTTTATTTTGAAATTTTAAGAAGTATTTTATCTAATAGACTTTTCTCTTATTTTTCAAAAAGCCTATTAATATCTAACTTATTTCTCAAATAAATTTTGAGTAAAGAACTTCTTAAGTTGCACTTTACTCTAGAATAAAAAAAGAGTAATTTTGATTTTTAAAAAAGGGATAAACTTCTAAACAAATTTTTTTTAAATATGAAGAGATATGTTTTCTTATAAATTTACAATATTTTATAAATAAATATATTAAAATATAATTTAGACATAAACAAAATATAATTTTAAATATTATTTCAATCATATATTATGCTTGATTTTTATATTTTATTTAACTTTCTATTAATTTCTGTATTGAGTTAAAAATCCTTTCTTTTAAATTAAAAAAATAAAAAATAAAATATTATTTATAAATGATTTTTATTACTCTATTTTTGATTATTATCTAAGTTTATTTTTTATTCTTTCAATTTCAAATTAATTATATTGTTTAAAATTTACATAAACATTGTTAGGTTATTTTAATAAATTATATAAGGGTGTATTTTCCTTAATATTCTATGTTATACTTACATCATGTATGAAGTATTTTCTCCATGTTTATATTATTTAAAATAGTATTTTATTAGGAACATTACTATAATATACTTCTTCATCTAAATACGAATATAAAAACACATATCCTAACCTAGCTAATGCACGTCTATTAATAAATAAATAAAAATTTCATTAGATAAATATTACTGCATTATTTGCTAGTTTGGAAATTATTTAGTTTTTAAAAATTAGCAGATTCTTTTAATATTAAACATATTTAATTAAGATTTTATATAATTTAGTCGTTAAATTTAAATTAATTATTTTTTAATCTAATTATAACTTTATTATAAATATAATTAATTATCCTATTAAATTTGATTATTTAAATCCTCTATTAATTAATAATTGTTTATCTATTCATTCCAAATTTTTATTTAAATTCCCCATTCAGATTAACATATTTCGCAACATTTACTTTTAACTTTATTTGGTTAAGTAATTTGATGATTAGGACAATATGTGCATTTCATATACTTTTATTTTTTAAATAAAAATTATTTTACTTTAATTTATTAATAAAAATTACATATTATTAAATAAATTATATTGAATTTTCAATTTATTTAAATTGGATTATTATTTTAGTTTATTTTTTACTTTTCCAGGTTAATAAAGGGTTAATATTTAAATCAAATATTTAAGATTGATCTTAAATATTTGAAAATAATTATCTGAGTTAAATCTTTTATTTAAAATAAAATTATATTAATAATTAGAATAATAATTTACTTCTGATAATTATTCGTTTATGTTTATAGAGATAATTCCTCCTTATTTTAAATATTATAAGTAATGTTTTAAATCATTTATATTCCATGTTTTATAGTTTAATTCTATTAAATCAAAATGATTAGAATATTTTTATTAAATTACTTTTTATTTAATTGTCATTATTATTTTAATAAATATAATTTTTACATTGTTCTTCGTTATCTTTTTATTAAATATAAAGTATATTTTTAGTCCATTATTATTGATTTTAAATCTAGAAAAATTATAATGCTTCGATTTTATGATTGACAAAAAGAGTTTTCGATTCTATGATTAACATTAATTTAAAATTATTAATATATATTTTTACTTTTTTAATTCTATAGCTTAAAATAATTATTAAAGACAAGCAAAGAAACTATATTATTTGTATTAAAACAAGAATTTGCATCATATTATTATTTTTTATTAATTTATGGAATACTAATTAATTCATAATTATTCTAAATTCTTTTTTATTAGCTAATTTGTATGACCATTTCATTTTAATATTTGATTTCTTTTTTATCTTATTAAGGTAATTATAGACATAATTTATATTTTTATTTATTATTTATTAAATTTCTAAACTGTTTGAAAAAAGATATATATTTGTTTTATTTTATCATTTTTTATTAAAAATATTTTAATTATTATTTTTTATATCTCTATATATATTTATTTTTAGCTAAGTTAAACAATTCGAGAAATTTTTAATTTAAGTTCTAAATAAAATTAAAAAATCAGTAATTAGAATTTTTAATTTTTTAAATTTACATTGATTTATAAAATAATCTGTAGAATTTTATACATTTAAAATTTTATATGTATTAAAATATAAATTATGAGGACAATAATAGTAAAAATAATAAAAAAGTTAAAATAAAATAATTATATTTAAAATATTAAATATAAATCTATATATTTATATGATATTAAATATATATATTTTATTGTACTTAAATGGATCTTTTTTATTTTTATTTAATAAAAAAAGATATAAAGTATTTTTTTAAATTTATTATTTTCCTTTTTAAAATATAAATGTAAAAAAGAACAATTTGTACTATGAATATATTTTTATTCTTATATAATTCAAATTCCTTCTACTTTTTTTCCAATTGATTTTTAATAATATTTAAGCATATTTAGATCATTTTGACTCATCCAAGAATCAAGACCGGCTTATTAATCAGCATTTACATCCATTGCATGACTATATGAAGTGAAATCAGCAAGTTAATCATAAGTAACTGAACCACTCAAAAATGCAATCATATCTTCTAAACTTCTAAGAGGCCTAGAAGGCGCACCGAATCTATTGAAAAATAATTTTGATACTGCTTGTTCATCATTTTCTGATTTTAATAATTTTTAATATATAATATTAACAATAATATAAATATATATTTTATAAATAATTAAATAAATATATTTTTTATACATTTTAAATCGATGGCAGCTTATATTCTACCAGATTCAAAAAAATATGGATCAATATAATTATTAAATACATAACCTACTGAAGAAGCAAGACCGAACCCAATAAAGAACATTGATCCTCTAATCTTAATTATTATTATTTTTTTTTTTTTTTTTTTTTTTAATTTGTACAGGTCCTTCGTTTCTAACCATTCTAAATAAGAAATCTGTGTATCTTCCAATACCTTTGTGTCTAAGCATACCTTAATCATCTTAATTAAATTTAAGGTTACATTTTCTAATATTATGTTTTAATATATTTTAAATAATTATTGATTAAAAAATTAAATTAGAATTTCATTTATTTTTATAATATTTTTTTAAATTTCAACCTCCAGATTCTAAGATTCCATGATTATTTGCTGAAAAATTTAAACCACATTTTTATTTGTTATATTATTTTTATAAAAATTGGTATTTTTTTTTTTTCCCTTAAAAATTTTTTTTATTTAAAATATATAAAAAAATTTATATTAATATATTTTAATTATTTATTATTTTATTATTGTTATTAATTGTTATGTTATTATTATTATTTGTTAAATTAATTTTTATATTAAAAATATGAATAAACACGGATAAAAGTAACAAGCTTAAGTTAGAATTTAAACAAAAGAAATATAGAAATTGCCAGATGATATGGAAACAGAAATAAAAGATGCTTTTACTTATTTTGATAATGAAAAAAAAGGAACTATAAATAGAAGTTAACTGCGTTCTATTCTAGGTAATTTTGCGTTTTCAAATATGAATGTAAAAGAAATTGAAGATTAATTAAAAAAAGACTCATAAAATAAACAAAACTTTACTTTTGAAGAATGCATTAAAATTATAAGCAAAAAATGGTTTTAAGGAGGAGGAAAAGAGTAAGAAGGTGAAGAATTTTTCAAGCTTTTTGACAGAAAGTAAATTGAAAATCTATATATATATTTATTTAGTAATTTTTTTATAAATAATTTGAATTTATAAAAGAGGAAGAAATGGAATTAGTTTATAAGATGTGAAACACTTATTTGGATAATATTTAGATATTAATATTAGTGATAACGATATTTTTGAATTTTTATAAGAAGCAGACACTGATGGTGATTAAGTTTTAGATAAAAATGATTTTTACAGAAAGTAATTTAATTAATTGTTATTTTAAAAATAAAAATAAATTTTATATATAATTATTTATTTATTTTCTTTTTAAAATTTAATAGATTCGGATATAACTGAATTTAAAAGTTTGAAATCTACTATAAAATTATATATTGTTAATATTAAAATATTTATTTTTATAAATTTAAAATTTCATATTAAATTAGTTTTATTTTTTATTTACAAATATTATTTTTTATAAAATTATTGTGAAATAATTTAATAAAATTTCCAATTAAAAATTATTATTGATTTAAATTAAAGATAAATAAGGAATATTCTAATGTATTAAAAATAAAAAATAAAAGGCTTTATAAAATATATATAACATATATTTTTAAAAATAAAATATTTATTTCATTAATATTAAAATTATGATCTCAAAATTCTTGCTTTGTAAATAAAATTATAAATCTTTTAACTAAAAAGTAAAATACGACTTTAATGTTTCTAAAAAATTTATTTTTGAGAAAAAAATAGAAGAAAATCTATAAAAGCTTACATAATTAATAAATTAATTGAAAGAAGAAGATAATATAGGGGAAGGTTTAAGTAGGTTAACAAAAGAATATAATTATACATCAAATATAGTCTATTAAAATTTAATGAATTATAAAGTACTTAAAAAAAATATGCGAAATAATATTTTGAATTCAATATATTTAATTTCTATTGGATTATTAGGATATAAATTTATAAGTATTTATTTTCCAGTAATTCCATTATTATTTATTTCTAATGAAATAAATAAATTTATGAAAACCAAAAAATATACCTAATAACTTGTAATTAAAATCAAACTTTCGGATGATAAAAACAATTTGTAATTATTTACTTTAAGCAATAATATTATTAATTTAAAAATATAAGAAATGGATATTTAACATATAGAAAATATATCACATAATATTTAATTAAATTTTGGTACAGTAGATCTTAAAAACGAGGTTTTTTTAATTGTTTTTGATATTTCGGATATTAATAATAAACTTTTTAGTAATTTAAGAATTTTTATTGATACCGAATTCATTTATGTTGATAATGCCAATTTACTAAAGGATATTTTAGAAGGTAATATTGAAAATGTAAAAAAATATTAACTTGTAAATGAAAATGAATTAGAAAACTTTAGCGATATTCAGATAGAAGAGAAAACTAAATAAATTTTAAATAAATAAAAATAATAAAAGCAAGAAAAAGAAGAATAATGAAAATACTTTTTAATTTTTATGTTTTACAAATTATTTATACGTATAAAATATATTTAATCGAATTATTATTTGTGTGTATATTAATATTAAGTAAGAATGAAATTATTTTTGCGGAAATAAAAAAATATTATATAATTAATTTTGTAATATATTTTTAAATATTCAAATAATTTTTTTATTTAATTTAAATAATTTATTTATCAATTTAAATATAAAACAAAAACAAACTAAATAAAAAATGAATTTAAGATTCAATAATTAGTAGGTAATATTATAAACAAATCTTATTTTATTAAATAAAAAAGTATTTTAAAGAAAATTAATCTCAAAAAGAAATTATAAATATAATGAATAATCTAAGAAAAGAAATTCGTCAAAATGCTTCCGAATAATTAAAAGATTGTAGCATATTTTTTGAAAATTAGAATAAAAAAGAATTATAGATTTAATAATCTTAAAATAAATAAAAAATAGAATAAATTTTTAAACAAAAAATTAGAAATTAAAATATAAATTCATAATCTTCTAAAACTTTTTATAAATAAAAGAATAATTTAAATAAATAAAACCACTAGTAGATTTTTAATAATTTTTTTTCAAAATATAATTCTGTTGATTTTTCATAATCTTCGCCTCTGAAAAAAGTGTATAATAATCAATATTAATAAAAATTTACTTTCATTTTGATAATTATATATTTTTATATTTTATTTCAGAATTGAAAGTATTGGAAGAAACAAAGAATTTTAAAGCAATTATTAAATAAAAATTAATTAAAAAAATAATGCTTATTAGTTATCTCCTAATTAATAAATATAAAATTTTTAAATAAAGAATATTTTTGATACTTAAGATAATTGGTTCCAAAAACAAAATATTTTTTTTATTTTTTTTCATATCAATAGGAAAAATCATTAAAAAATAGAAAAATTGATATAATCAAACAAAGAAAAATAATAAAGAAATTAATCTAATCACAATTAAAATTAAAATATCTTATCTTAGTTTGAATGCAATACTTTTTTTAATTAATTTCCTAATAATTAGAGCTTTAATTAATCAAGAAACAAAAATTAGCAATTTTAGAAAGTTTTTAGTGCAAACAAAATTATTGGTAATGACACCCTGATTGACAAAATTCCTTTATATAAAATTAAACAATTATAATAGATTATACAAAATTCTAATAAATAAGAAATAATATAATTGCCAAATTAGTACTTATATTAATAATAATATTTATTATTTATATTTATTTCGATTGTAAAATATATTTAAGGTATGTATAAGAATTAACCAATCTAGCGTTAACAATTACAAAAGCATTAAAAAATACAACATTTTATTAAGTAAATTTGTGAATTTTTGAATTTTTATCTACAATAAATATTTTTTTGTTAATATATTTATTTTTAGTATAATTGAATTTCATTATATTTTTAAATTAAAAATAAATACATATATTAATTTAAAAATACATGTATTTTTAAAAAATTTAATAATATATAAAAGAAAAATTAAAATGTTTTTAAAAAATATAAATTGAAAAGTACTCTTTTTTCATTAAAATTAATATTAAAAATCAAATTTTAACATGTATTTTTTCGCTTACATTTATTTATATCCACATTAATAAAATATTTATATAATTTTTAAATTTAAAAAAAACAAAAATATAAAAATGCTTAAAGAAAATAATAGTTTTATAAATTAAATTAATATTTTAAAACCTTCCCGATCAGCAAAATTACTAAATGAAAAATATGAAAATAATTAAATAAGAAGCAAATAGTTTAATAATTTTATTTACTAAAAGGCAATTAAACCAGACGGTGATAGTGATTTATGTAATACTCATTTATCAGAGGATGTTTAATAAAAAGAAAATGATTTATAAAATATTTTAAAATAATAACTTGCTAAACCTCCTTTATCTTCTAATAATTCTATTATAAATAATAAAGATGAAATTACATTGTTTAAAGGTATTTTTATATAATCATTAATTATTTGGTTTTTCATTTCAATAAAAAAATAAGGAACTGATTTTAATTATTAAAACAATATTTTTGTAAGTATAAAAAATAGTCAAGATAATTCTTTTGATAATAAAAAAGATTAAAATAATGAAGAAAATGAAGTTTTAAGACCTGAAGACTTACTTCTAAGTAAATAATAATTGCTTTAGTTTTAAAAGAAAAATCAAATTAGATGTTTATAAAAAAGCTATACGCCAAAAGTAGTAGGTGGAAGAAGTACATAAGGATTTCAAAATAATTATTTTTATTAATAAAATAGCTAAAAATACCCTTTTTAACCATAATTAAATAAAACTTCAAACAAAATAATATAGAATAAAAGAAGTTCTTAAAATGTTTATGCAAATTAGAATAATAACATTTCAGTTTATGATAGACTTTATCCTTCTTTTAGAAAAACAAATTTAACGGCAGAAATTTATAAAAAAAAAACTTTATAGGACAACTCACAATAATCACAATTTTTCTCGAAGAAAAATATATAAGAAAATGCGAAAAAAAGTAAAATCGAAAACATATTTTAATAAGAATTTTTAAAAAAACACGAATAAATAATTAAAAACGAATAATTATCAAGAAAAAATTCATATAAAAGTTTTAATCTAACAAACAATAAATGTAATACATTATTATAAAATAAAATTTTAAAAGAGATAAATTAAGCTTTTGAATAGATTTATTATAATAATGATTAAAATGCTTAATAAAATAATAATATTGATTAAAATATAAGTTTTAATTTTTAAAATAATGATAAAAATAAATTAACTAATATAAATTAACTATTTGAAATGATGCTTTAATTAGAATTAATTAAATTTAATTAAGAATAAAAGGTTAATGAAAACGAAAAACAACTTATTTTTTATGTTTGGAAAATACTTGGTGGGTATCAAAATGATTTCATTAGAAAAGAAAATTTAATATATTTTTTAAAAATTGTACTAAATTTAGATAATAAAAAAGCGGCTTCTTTCCATTAAAAAGTAAATGATGATTATTCTTTTACTTTTATTAATAAAAACAAATCTATACATTAATCTAATTCATAAAATATCGGATTTTTTGATAATAACTAAAATTGGTATTTTTTTTATTTTAAAATTTATATTAATTATTTATTATAGGATTGTAAATGATTAAGAAAAATTAATTTTAAGATAAAATTTTGATATTTTTTATAAAAATAAACTAAGTAATGAAAAATTAAAACAAAATAAAAGTAATTATGAATCTAATAAACCGAAAAATTCTCATCCTAATATACTTGAAATATCTAAAAAACTTACTTATTAATATCGAGATAAAATTTTATTAAATAAATCAAAATAAATCCAAAATAATGTAAATTAAATTTAAAATTAAAATCCTATATTATATTTATTAAGGAAATAAATTATTAAATTCCTTAAAATGGAAAAAATAATAATTAAAATCAACTTTTTGCATAAAAGAAATCTTAATAAATCAAAAATTAAACAAAAGTAGATGAGTTTAAATAAAGAGATATTTAAGGTTGCTCTTTTAATCATACTTTATAAAACCATTAAACTAAAAAAAGCTTAGATAATAAAAATTAAGCTTTACAAAAATATTAAATAGATAATTAATATAAAAATTTAAAAGATCAAACGAACAACATGTATTAAAATAATTAAAATTAAGTATTAAATAATAATAATTTCTAAGAAAATAATCAACTCTATTATAGCTTTAATGGAACTACTGATTATGCAAGCCTAAATTAAAAACCTACAAATAGTGATTCTATTGAATCCTTACAAAAAAATTATTTTTCTTGCCAAAATTAAAAAAACAAAGAAAAAAAATAAATTTTATATACAAATAATAAAATCAAAAATTGTATATATATAATATTCAATATTTATTTTATATTTTTTATAGAAAAAATACCACTTTTATACGTTGATGTCAATTTAGGTAACTCTAGAAATGAAAGAATTATAGTAAATGAAGGAGACAACCCAAAATAATTGGCTATTGATTTTTCTAGATTACATGGTTTATTATTTTTAAGTTTATACATTTTTGTTATTATAATATAGGGTTAGATGAAACTGTAACAGAAAAACTATATGAAATTTTAAATATTTAAATTTAAGGATTATTAAGTAGAATTGAAGAAGAAAATTTATCTAATTTAGAATGATTTTAAAAATAATACATATAATAAAAATATTTTTTTGTATTTATAATTTATTTTTCATTATAAAAAAATTGTAAAAATAATTATAAATATTTTAAAATTTAAATTATTTTTGAAAGTTGTTTCATCATCATTTTCGGTTGTTTAAAAAGTTATTTTTTTTATCTATGTTTTATCCATTAATTTTGAATAGCTTCCATCTAAATACTCCGCAATCAAATATACCACATATTCTGTTTTAGGTTAAAGATTTTATAATTATATAATCCAATTAAGATTAGACTATGATAAAATATAATAAATATAAAATATATAAATATTTATACAGGAAAATATTCCTTTGTTTTATAATTCGGATTTAAATTTTAATCATCAAGCCCTGCATAAATTTAACTAGGATAAGGAGTTTATGGTTCATTTTATTCAAGATCATCATTTCTTGAAATATCTGGTGGGGGATTAGCAACAATATCACAAATTATAGAAAGTTAATTAAGGTCGCTTGTTTTACAAATATGTGTATTTGAAGAAACTTAGCCTAAAAATCTTTTGGAAAAAGGCTAAATACCTAAATCATCTAAATATCTAATAGAACCTGGCACTGCTTCTGATGTATTTGGAAAAATTCTACGATATTTTCGAACTACAATAGCATGTACAACTCCACTAAACTTAAGGCCAATATTTTAAATGAAGGCATAATTTGATTATATTTTTCCCATTTCAATTTCACTGTCAAGCCATTCGAATTAAATTTAAGAAACATCAGCATCTCCAAGCTAAGATTTTCCCAAAGTTCTTCCATCAAAAGTAAGTTCGTCTTCTGAATAATTTCCACTATAGTCTTCAACATAAATATGAGCGGTATAATCGAAATCTTATTTAAGTCCTTTTAATTCAAAAATATATCTATTTGTAGAGTCTGTGGATATAAATTCACCCATTAAAAAAGACGCTCCGTAATAATCTTGAGTCATTTTTTTTTAACGAATTGTTTCTATAGGTAAACGTGGACTGTGTATTGAAGAAACAAAGTAATAGATAGTACTTGGCTTACTTACTTATATGTCAAATTTTAAACCTTCAAACGTATTTTCTTTTGAAAATTAAAATATAAATGGTTTTGTATTTTCAGGTTTTACTATTAAGAATGTTTATACTCGATTTTAAAATTTAAATATTTTTATAAATTCTTTTTATTCATCATCAGTTCCATTTCCTGTTAAATAAAATAATACTTTTCCTTATATGCCTTCAGTGTTTCGATCTACTGAAACCCAAAAATACGATATAAATGCACTATCACTAAATTATATTTAACTAGGATAAACACCTTTTTTTTGTATAAAAAAAAGGTTTGCTTTATTTTTTTTTACTTATATATTTTGGATCATTCCCTAGTATACTTATATTAACATTCAAAACATCATAAGGTGAATTATCTAATTCTACTTTTATTGGTTTACTCCTACCTCCTGAAGTAACAGTTCTTATCGGGTCAATATTTATTAAAACATTTTAATTTTTATCAAAGTAAAGGTAGAAAGGTCTAACTTATATATATCCACTGAAATCTATTTTAAATGTGATAAAAATTTTTTAGACTTATATTTAATTTGAAACTCCTATTTAGAATTTAGTTTCTTACTTTCCAGGCTTTATAAATTTTTTTAAAATAAATTATTTTCAATTTTTATTTTTTTCATACTGATATTATTATTGGTTAAAATTTAACAAGATTATTAGAACAAATAGGCGTTATTTTTATTTCACTTGATTCAGTGTTTTGAATTTATGCAATAATGGATTTTGACCAAACACCCTTTTGTATATTTAATTATCTAATATCGGTACCAATAGTTACAATCTTACCTTTTTAAATAAAATCAGGAGTTAAAAAATTATTTAGATTGTTAAAGGTCATTTATTTAATCGTAAAGCTATCAGTATTATATAAAGATACAATCGGATATCCAGGTTATACTCCAGGATCATAAGGATTAGGGATTTTTTCCATTAGAATTTCAATATCTTGAGGAATATTATATTAGATTTTATATTTAGATTAAATAAATATTTCATTTAAAATGACAGATAAAGAAAGATCTGCTATGTTTGTAATAGAATTATGTGTTAATTATCGAGGGGTTAACCATAAATTTTCCAAATCATAGCCATCTTAAAATTATATATAAGTATGATAAAATTATATTGGTTAAGAAGTTGTTAAACTAAATTTATAATCAGATAGTTCTCTAATATTATTGTTGGCTTTTTTCAAAGTATAGTATTTATATAAAATAAAAATAAAATATAATAAAAAATATATTTATATAAAAATTTGTATAATATATAAATTTAAAATTAATAAATGAAATTAAAAAATTTTTTATATTTTTAATGAAAATTTATAAAAAGTTATATAATTTTTATAGAAATGAAAAAATACAAAAATAAGAAATTAAATAAAAGATAAAAAATAAAATAAATAAAAATATAATTATATATATGTAAAAAAAAATATATAATTTTATATATATATATATTTATATAATTATTTATTTACATTTTTTTATATTTATTCATTTTTTTCATATTTTATGTTATAATTTAAATTTACTTATATTTATTTTTTATATATTTTTTTTTTTTATTTTATATTTTTATTTATATATTTCTTATATTATATATAATGTACAATTTATATATATTTTAATTACTTATTCTTAATTATTTCATAAATAATATATCAGGAGCTGAACTTAAATTTAACCTTGAATCTTATGGTATTACATTTGAAATATATCTATATGCAGCATTATTATTTTTCATTATGAAACATTTTATAGGTGGAAGTACATTATTATTAGTATAAGGATTAATAATATTAATTAATTTTATTGATATTATTTTACATTTTAATATATCATTTTAATCCATATTTTATATGTTAGTTATTGTTATTGTCCAATCTTTTTCTATACATGTTATTGGATAATAATATGTATCTTTTTGAAGATCTTTGTACATACAACTTATATTTGTTCCTTTATTTTAATTAAATTAAAATAATTAAATTAAACATACCTAAATTTCTAGAATATTCATAAGAAAAAGAAAATATAATTTTAGAACTTTCATTCAATTATTCATTTGGAACCAAATCGATAATATAAGTTGATGATTATCCTTCGTTTCTTGGATAATAATTGAAAGAATGTATATATAAAGTTCGAGCAGCAACTCCTGTTATTACTTTTCTGTTTTCATTTGTACTTCCAGATTCGTCTAAAATAACTTAATCATATTCTGTTTTTACTACAACCACTCCTGAATTTAATTCAGGGCTTATATTTTTAACGTTTTTAATACTAATTATTACTGGTTCCATACCATCTTCTACATATAGATAATCATCTAATATTATTTTTACTACTGCTAAACTTTCTTGGTTTGCTAAGTTACCTGATTCATCTAGTTTGCAACTTTTGAAAGTTTTCATCGCTCCAGAAACATAACAACGAATATTAGGGTAATCATAAAAATATTCTTTTGTAAAATCGTTTGGAAATTGTAAATATATTATTCCTAAAGGTTGGATATCGTAATTCGGATAAAATTATATGGTATATGTGCCTGGAAAATTTTAAGTATATTTTTCATCATAATTAAATGAATTTGTAGGATTTAAAGCATCATTACAAAACACTATTTATGAGTCAACTGTATTTGGATTACCATTATCTGGGTTAACAATAAATTGTTTGAATTTTATTATACCTACTGGAAGTTTTCTTTTTATTATTAAAGTTCTGATATTACGATTATAGTCTATGGTTAAACCTTCTTAATTTTTAGACATTATTTCGAAAAAATTTGTTATTCCTTCTATTGGAGGATTTTTTACATCTTTTTTTTTACATATATATAAATTCATTTTTTAAATCTTTATGATTTAATTATTTACGGTTAATTCTTAAATATATAAGTGTTTCTTTTTATATAGCTTTTACACCTTTTATTGTATAAGTATTAACAGCTATTTCAAAATGAGATTTATCTGTTAGTGGAAGCGAGTCGTTTGATTCTATTCCATAAAATATTTATATTTTTGGTTTTGGTATATTATTATCATTTAAATCTCTTGATAAATCATAATAGTTTTTGGGAAAAATTAAATCTATTCTACCATTTTCAGGGATATTATTCTGGAATTAAAAAAGCCAATCATAAGAAACATCTGTTCTTAAAGATTCATACTTTTAAGTAGTTACCTTAGATGTTTTTAATGTTCCATATCTGAATTAAGTAAAAGAATTAAATAATCCAGTTTCTATTACCATTTTATTTTTAAAACTTAATAATTTCATAGTTCCTTAAAAATCAGAAGCAAAAGTTGGATTTTTTATTCCTGTTATATAAAATGTATAAATAATTCCTGGAGTAAATGTCTTTATTTTTTTTAATAAGAATAATATTAGATTTTATATTTTTACCTAATCAACTTCAAAAAAAAGCCACCCTGATTTAGGATAAGTGTAACAAGTTTTAGCTGAAGCATTTCCTACTCCAATATAACATTTTAGACCATTTATTGGTAATATATATTCCATTGGATTTGTAATTTATAATTAAGGGAAGGCAAAAACTATATAATCCCCAGAATCTAATTATTTATTGAAATTGTAAAAAATAGAAGTTTTCGACTCTTCATTTACGTATGCAGGATTAAATATTGGAGCATTATTGTTTGAAACTTGGACAGCTATTGAAGCATTGCAAATAGGTATGTTAAAACTTTCTTTTAATATTTAATATTCTTAGCGTAAAATTGTAGCATATATTTCAATTTCTATTGTAGGCTATGTTAATGTTGAAGAGGGATTTTAGAAATCAGGAAAATGTAATTCAACTGGTGTTAAAGAGGCTATTTATTTATAGTTTGTTATTTATACTATTGTTGGGTTATTTTAGTCGCTTCCATTTTATATCAACTAACATAAAATTTCAGTATCATATGCTATAATTTTTTAAATAATAAATGCTTTTAAACTATAAATTTTATTTTTTACGACTTATTCCTGCTCTGCCATAGCATGGAATGTCTTTAGGGTTATTAACTGCAAGATCTATTTTATAAATTTATTAAAGAGAAGCATTTAAAACAGGAAATTTTAGTAAAATTCTACTTGAAACTTATGTATAATCTTAAACCCAAACTGATTATGGAATATCTTTGTTTGGTGTAAATTTTATCTTTGTAATTGAGTCCATTTGACAATCTTAAGATTATTAAATTACTTAGAAAGTTGATCCTGTAGAATATATTAATTCAATTAATCCTATAGTGCTATGTTTCTGTTTTTTTTTGTTTAATTTTTTTTTTTTTTTTTTTACTTATATTATATTAGATGTATCAACAAGTGAAACTCCAAAAGGATAATATTTATAAGGAATGTTATTATTTTTGACTTTTATTAATAATTTAATTCCATTTGTTGTACATGTTGATGTTGCTTTAAATTACAAAACTGAATATGATTATACAGGAGCAGCAAAGTTGCAATTTGTAGAAATATAATTATTATTATAAGTAAAGCCCAAAGGAATCCAAATATAGAAAAATTGATTTATTTAAATGTCTTAATCAATTGTAAAAGTAATATCTAATTTATTTTATTTTTATATATAAACATAAATTATTATTTTAAAATAAAAACCATTTGCCTATCCAACAATATTATTTGATTATGATATAGAAGATGTTCCGTCTAATTTAGCTTTATTTATAGCCAAATTTAATCCTGTAATAGCTTAATCAATTAGAAAACTTTAATTTAATGTAAAATATGTTTTTATTGAAAAATTAGAGTCTTTTATTAAATAAAGTAAATATTATATTTATATTTTATTTTTTTACAAGATGCTAACGCTCCATTATTAATTTCAAAAGAAACTCTTATTAATTTTTAATCAGACACTTATTTAAATTAACTTATTTTGATTGATGTTCCGTCCTTTACTATTAATACTTTTTTATCTTAAGATTAATCTTCCAAACCAAGAATAACTCTCATTTAAAATTTGGTGTTAGCATCTATTATAGATTCAATAAAATAATTAATCACTATAGATCCTGTCTCAGGAATAGGATTTGCCAAAATAAAATCTACTTCATGTTATACGATATCGTTTTCAACAAAAGGATATTAATTATTTTCGTTATAATATTATTTGAATGCTCCTACTTTTAATTAAGTCAATGTTCCTGCCTATATTAATAACTCGGCATCATAAATTAATTTTTCTAAAATTGTAAAAGCGCCATCAAGCCAAGTAGTAACAATAACATTATTAGTATTTCCTTTAGATGAAGGATTTAAAACTTTTGTAATCTGTATTTTTATTTATACGTTTAAAGCTACATTATCATAATTCTAATTTATTTTATATATTTTTAGTAAAATTAGTTATATTTACAGTTATCTTAATTAACTTATTTGAAAGCATTTAAAATTATGGAGAACCTGTTAGACCTGTAATAACTGAAAATTAACTGTCTTAAAGAATTTATAATTATGTGTTTTCAAAAGAAATTAAAATATGACTTCCTTTAAGTAGCATAATAGATGTTTTGAAAATTATATTATATACACTTATTTTATTTATTATTGGATCAACTATTTCTATTTTGTAATCTACATTTGTTACTGGATTTATTGCTTAAGTTTACGGAGGGTCCAAAATTCCTACTTGTCCAAATTACTAGTTTGAATCAAGCATATTGTTTTCTAAATAAAAAGTGTAAAATCTTCGTGTCATTATTGAAAACATTCCTGTTCCTTTTTTTGAAGATGGATTTTTTATTCCATTTATAATTATTTTATATGTTGCAGATTTCATATCTGGTACTTAAATAATAAAAGTTGCTATATTATCAAAAACTATTGAAAAAGGGCTTTTAATTACCTACCAATTATTATTCTCATATATTTATGCTTACATTGTGTATTATTTTATTTCTATATTTTCTGATATTTATTTTGGAAATTTTATCAATATTGTATCTCCTTTTTTTTTTATCATATTAAAAATTTTTTTTTTATTATTTTTGTTTGCCTTCTAGAAGATCTGTTTGTGTTGTAAATGAAAAAATGTATGAACTAATTTCACCTGCATTATTTGCTGTTAATTCTATTGGTTTTCTGCCAAAAGGAAGAATTAAACTACCTTTTGTCAAATTATTAAATAATTAAATAATGATTATTATTATTAATTTATAAATCATTTTTTTTTATAAATTATTTTTTTAAAAAATAAGCAATATATGTGATTATTTTCTTTTATTTATTGAATCTTATTTATAAATAATAAAATAGTATTGCTTTTTTTTAAAAAATATAAATTAAGATATAGTAAAATAAATTATTAAATTATATTTAAGAATAAAATATTATAATGACTACAATATAAAATTACGTAAAAGGAAATTTTATAATAACTGATAATTAGTAAAGTTAGCAATAATAATAAGAGCAAAAATAATTATTCATCTTTGACAGTGATTATTATAATGAAAATGCTTGCTTATAACTATTTAATTATTCTTTAGATTTTAACATGAATATAAAAGATAGGTATTAATTATTATCATTATATTTCAATAAAAATAAATAAAGAAATGTTATTTTGCTAGATTTCGGATTATAATGGATGTAATAATATTAAAATAGCTAAAAATTAAAAGATTTTGTTATTAATTTAGGTCCAAATAAATTTGGTCTATTTTTTTTTTAAAATTTAGATGTAAATAATACATAAGATAATTTCTATTTTGATTTCAACCGAGATTCTTTAAATAAATTAATTTAAAATCTATAGAATATAGGTATAATATTTATTATATATATAAAAAATATTTATTATAAATAAAAAAGAATAATATATTAATGATAAACCTTCGATCATATTCATTAGAGGATTAGAAGTATTAGAAATGTTTTTTTAATAAGAAGATGTATCTTTATTCATTGCAGAATTATTAAAGTTAAATAATTTAATAAGTAAGAGAAAAAAATAATTGAATATAAATATATATTTTTTATATTAGAATAAATAAATTTATTATGCAGAAAAAGTTTAATAAAAAACAATTTACATGAATCTTTGACTTTATTAGGCTCTTGTAAGGTTTTTTTTGATTACCCTTTCGAATAAATAAAAAATTAAGTAAAAACTCCGTATTTTATGATAAAATTAACTCTAAGAAAATTTAATGGATATTCATTTATATAAAGATATAAACTAAATATGTAAGAATTAAGTTAAAATAAATTAGATGTAAAAAAATTTGATTTAAAATAAGAAGAAAAGGTACCTGAACCAAGTGAAAAAGATTTACAGAAAATTTTCTAAACTTCATTTAGTTTATCAGTTTCAGAATAATAAAAAAAAGTTAAATAATAATTAGAAATAGCTATTATGCCACATTTATAATAAAAAAAAGTAGAAAAATGGGATAATTGTGCAGAAAAAAATAAAAATAAGTTAAATGATTTAGTAGAACTTGAAGGTTCTGATATTGATGAAGAATAAGATGACGATGATGATTTAGATGTTTGAAAAATTGAATTATTGATATATATTTTTATTGTTTTATATATGGTTATCTTATAAAAAGTAGAAGAAAAGAATATAAAATATAAATTAAAAGATATTAAATAAAATTAATTTTATATACTTAATATTAAAAAGAATAATCAGTTTTTTTAAATACTCGAATTGTGATTATTTAAATTAAGACTTTTTTCATTTAATAAATGTCCTATTTATTCTAAGGCAACCTTTTATTTAAATTGAAATATACTAGTTTATTTATAAAGTATATAAATATATTTACGATATCAGGAGAATCCATACTTTCATAACTATTAGCACGTTTTCTTCTTAATTATTTTAATAGAGTAATTCTTTCTTATAAGTTTAGATTTTTATAATCATTTGCTCTAAGTTTTAATTTATTTAAATTTTATTTTATTCTTTTCATTCTTTGATTTTTATTATGGTTTATATGTTAATCAATTTAATTTCTATTATTTTTTTCTTCCTTTACAAATTTTCTCTATTTTATAAAATACAATAAAAATATATATATATATATATATATATATATATATATATATTGATATACATATATATATATTTATATATATTCATATATAAATATATTCTAATGTTTATTTTTTTACTTTGCACATATTTCTATCTCTATCTTTAATAACTTAAGAAATCATAGAAAAATCTGTTCCAAATAATTAAATTCCTTTATAAAAAATATTTGTTTCATCTTATTTCCATTTTTTTGTATAATTTTGATTATTAAAAGTTTTTTTCTATTTTTTTATCTTTTTATTTTTTTTCTCATTATTTTACATAGCATAATCTTATATTGTTGTTTCTTCTACCAATTTTTTTCCTTTCTTTACTTTATTTATTTTAGTATTGTTCAAGCTTAAGCTTTCTAAATTATCACAAGTTGTTAATTATGAATTTTAATGAACTGAATCTTCATAAAAATTACCTTATTTTATAATTAGTTAATAATTACTTATTTTTTTATTACTATATGTTTTTGGAGAAATTGAAAATGAGTTTTTTTTACGCATACTAGAAAGAAAAAATATCTGCTTTTGTATATTTATTATTTATTTTAAATTATGATTATTTACAAATAATATGTGTTTATTATTTATTATTTTTAGAGTTAATTTTTATATATAAAAATCTAAAGATTAAAAATATTTTTTCTATATTATAATTTTTACATATTTAAATAATATTATAATAATAATTACATGTTTTTCAATTTTTGTAATATTTTAACTATTTTTTTTGTAAATATATAAAAATTATTTTTAAAAAATATATGGATTATGTAAAGATTAAAATATTATTATGAATTAAATAATAACATATTTAATTCATATTAAAATAAATTATTTTCAGTTAAAATCTATTTTTTTTGCTTTTTATAATTAAATTTATATTACTAGTTTTGATAATTTTTTATTTTTTAAAAACTTAATCATATAAAAAAAGAAATTATCTATTTTTTTTTAATTATAGAGTTTTTTAAAAAAAACTAAAGGAAAAATAAAAAACATCGAAACAAATAATATGTAATTTTTTATTTTATTTTTAATTCTAAACTTATTTTAATATTTTTAAAAAGCATTTGGTTTCCTAATAAAATATTCTTATTTTAAATAGGTAATATTTTCATTAAAAAAATATTTAAGTTTATAAAGTCAATAAAAATAAATGCCGTAAATATTATTTATTTAAAAAATTAATTTTATTCTAACCAAATGTATAAAAATTTGACAATATTTATATATACTTTTTACTTTTATATGTATAACAATGTTTTCTCAAAATTTAATAATCTTTAAAAATACTATTTATGTTAATTTAAATTTTATGCAAAACAAACCTATGAAACACATAGTATTATTATTTTAATATTTTTTTTATTTTTTATTAAAAAACGGTTTATATCTAAAATATAAAAATTAGAAAAATTAAAAATATAATTAAAAAATTTTTTTTTTTAAAAGATTAAATATAAAATAAAATTTATTAAATGATTTAGATATCATAATAATTAGTATTTAAGTTATATATATGTATAGGAACATTAATAACACTATACTGGAATCCATTCAAAGAACAAAATTTAAACAAAAACCTAATATATATAATTAAGTTTTCAAACGCAATGTTATTTCAAATGATATCAATATCATGCTTTAGTAAATAATCTATAGATTTATTTGGTAATAATTCATTAAAGAATATTTCTTTTGTTCTAGGCTTATATTGGATGTTTGTTATTATATATTATAGAATAAAGAATGAATCAACAATAAAAAAGTTGAAAATAAGTCAATAAAGTATTGATTCGTTCTTTGGAAGTCCTTTAGCACAAACTTTAATTCTAAACTTTATTGTTTTTGGATTTATTTGTGTAGTTTTATAAATGGAAAAGCACTTTTTACCTTATATAGATGATTAAACAACTTATGTTGATAAAATAAAGAATTTTTATGTAGGTTTTTTCCTTATTTTTGTAGAAATAAAGGTACTTCAATAATTGATGAAATAATTAATAGAAAATCCAGCAGAAAGATTGAGAGAAACAATTAAAAATTCAGTAAATGAAATAAAAGGAAAGAAAAAAAATAAAGAAGAAGATGAAGAAGAAATAATAAAAATAGAAGAAAAATAAGAAAAAATGCAAAAATAAGAAAATAATTTTTGGAATTATTTAAAAATATCACGAATAGTAATTACTTGTTTATTTTAAATGCTATTTACAATCAGTATTATTATTTATTTATTTTTTTTGGCTATTGAAATCTGGATTCCTTAATTAAATTTTGTTTAGAGTACAAACAGCTTTGCTTTTTTAGATAAATAATAAAATTTTGAACAGTATAAAGACATTATTTGTATAATTTTCAAGTTTTCTTTTATTGCGTTTATGCTTTATGAGAACTACTAAATTTAAGATAAAAATGATGATAAAAAAACCTTGCTTAAGTGTTATAGAGAACAAAAAGCAATTTTTTAATTTACACATTATGTTTTTGTTGTTATTATTAGTATTGCTTTGCTCTCTACTATGTATCCAAGCTTTATTTTGACTTAAAGTAATAACGATTGTTATAAAAAAGATATTAGTTTGTGTAAATTGAGTGTTATTGGATATTGCTTTAAGGATATCTTCTCTCGGGTAGAAATATTTTACTTTTAATACTTTATTTTAGTATATTCGATTTTATTTTCTATTTATAAATTTTTTAGGGTTATTGGAAGAAGTGGAAATTAAGATTAAGAATATTAAGTTATGGGATATTACAAAATCTGATTTTTTTTTTTTTAATTATTATATAAATAAGTAATAAATTTGATGATTTTAATTTACATATTTGTAACTATAGTTTCTTTTATTTTAAACTAAAATTTTATATCTAAAAAAAAAAAATTTCTTATTAAAGACAAAATTTATTTTTTATGAAAAATTAATATAATTTTTATTGATTTTTAAAAGTTTTATTAGTATTATTTTCATAAAAAAAAAAATTAAAATAAAATAATATATAAATATATATTTTATTAAAATAATTTAATATATATTTTTTTTTTTTAAAAAAAAAATGTGTTTCAATTAGTTTATTATTAACTCGTTTACAAAAGGTTATTATAAGGAAGTTATGTAAATAAAAAAATAATTTTCTAGTTATTTATTTATATTTAAATTATAATTTAAAAAAAAAGAAATGGAATTAAAGTAAACTAAATTAAAGCAGATTTGTAAAGAATTTAAAAAGACTCAAGTATAAATAAATAACTTAGTTAAAACATAAGTATATATTTTTTTAATAGATCCTTTCAAAGTCGTTCCATTACGTTATTATCATCATAGAAATATGGAAGTAATAAAATTAAAAAGAAATTAAAAAAAAATATATAAAAAAAATAAAGGTTTTATAACCAGGGCATTAAAGAAGAAAAGATAGAACTGAATTTGTAAGATATTAAAATAGAAAACATGTTGATTTTTATTGCAGATATGTACTAGCTAAAACCAATAAATAAATACCTTATAATTGAATATAAATAAAATGGGATATTACATTTAAAAAAAATAAAAATATATAATTTATTTTATATGAATATAATTGTAATAAATATCAAAAAATAGATATTTAACTATTAAAAAATATAATTATAATTCAATATTTTTTTATTTATTTATTAAATAAAAATATTAGCAAAAAAAAATATAAAAAAATCTAAAATTAATAAAAATAAAAAGATCATAAAAAATAAAATGGAGGATAAATACTTAAATTTTTACAAATTTCATGGAATATAACTTGATGGAGCATTATTTCCGAAACAACTAATAAATTAATTATATGATATACTTGTATAATAAAAATTTGATTTTAGTGAATATTTTTAAGTTCAAGAAAATTAAGAAGAAAGCACATTTTAAGCAGTAGCAGTTAAAGACATTCATAAAAATAGCAAAGTTTTTTTATTATTTCTTTCTATTTATTTTCTTAAATATTTAAGGTATTTCTAATCGAACATTAATTAACTTTCAGATTTGAAGAATTAAGATAAATTTTAGAAAAAAATAGCGAATTAGTAGACAGACTTTATTATTAGCTCTAATATCTAGATTAAAAAAAAAAAATCGAAGGATTAGAAGAAGAAAAAAAACTAAAACATAAACAAGAAATTGAATTTGAGGAATAAGATATAGTAGATCCTACATAATTAGATGTAATTAATAAAATTATTTATATTTTAATATAAATACATAAAAAAAAAGATTCCTTAAGATGTTATTTCTCTTTCTCTTTTTGATAATAAAATAGAGTCTTTAGATTTAGTAAGAGAGACTTTAAAAAAATTAAAAAATTTAAAAGCCCTTTTTTTAAATTATAATCCTGTTTCTGAACTTGAAGGATTTTTTGAAATTATTAGTACTGAATTCCCGAATATAGAGGTATTGAATTCTAAACTAACTTAAAATGCAAGTAAAGTATTTTATTATTAAAAAATAAAAAAAAATAAAAAAAGCTGATTTTGGATTAAAATTTTGTAGTTATAATTATAATTTGGATAAAAGTTTAAAAATAAAAACCGAAATGGTAAAAAAACTTAACTTAAAAAAGAGAAATTTATTTAATTTAAATAATTTTGATGTTTTTCTTTAATTCAAAAATCTCTAATCAATAGATTTGACTCAAAATGAGAGAATATCAAAAGAAAAAATAAAAGTTTTATTAGAAAAATGCCCTAAATTAGAAAATTTAAATATCGATTTTGAAATAGAATTATAAATTTGGGAAAAAGGAGAAACCTTAAATTTAAAATCAATAAATGATAGAGATCTCAAATATCAAAAGCCATTAGAAAATGAACCTAAAATAGTATTCATAATTAAAAATATATGGAAATAAGTAGGAAACTATAGACTTTATAGTAGTAAATAAATTGATTAATCCTCCGTTTGGTATTTAAATGATCTTTGTGGAATCTCAATTCAACATTCAGATATTGATAATGTTCGTCTTATTCCATTTTTATTTGCTCCAAATAATGAAGTAAAACAAATATTTTTTTTTTCTATAAATTTAAAATTAATATATAGATGGATGATAAAATGATATCTTATAGTGTTTTATGGGTATCTGAGAATATTAAAAGTGGAGATTAGATTTATAGAGATTATTTATTTGGTATTAATGAAAAGAAGTAAAGATCTTCTAGATTAACTGCTTTTTTTAAAGTACCAGAAAATTATTTTATGAAAAGATATTAAGAATATAAGAATTTACTAATGTAAAATAGTATTTAAGGAAGAAAACTTATAAAATCTTTTTCTAATTAAAATATTTAGAAGAAAAATTTAGTTGACTAAAATAAAGTTTATAAAGTAGTTACTGATTCAAATTTAGTAGCAGAATTTTTAACTTTAAAAAATTTCGAAATTACTAAAGAAATCGAAGGTTGTGATATTATTTTCCTTACTTAGGATTTCGAAAAAGCATTCATGTCTTTTTCTAATTCTTATCTTGTTAATTAATTCCCTTATGAATCTTGTATTGTTTCTAAATAGAATCTAGCTGATACTGTGAATTCAGTGTATTTTTTAATATATAAATATGTTTTTTATAAAAATTATTAAAAAAGGTTAGGAGAAGTTCCTTGGTTATAGACAACTTATAATTTAGAAACTCAATTAAGTGAATTTATTGGAGAATATAGAAGAAGAGAAATATAAAGCGAAGATAATATTTGGATTTTAAAACCTTTTAATTTAGCCAGAAGCTTAGATATGGTAGTTACTGATAATTTAGATTGTATTATTAGGTAAATGGAAACTATTCCTAGGGTAGCTTAAAAATATATTGAAAATCCTGTTACTCTTTTTAATAGGAAAATTGATTTAAGATATGTTGTTGCTGTTAGATCTGTAATTTTTTTGTTAAAAAAAAATATTTTATATAAAATTTATTTTAAAGATTGCTCCTTTAGAAATTTTCTTATATAAAGTTTTCTGGATTAGAATTTCTAATAATGAATTCACAAATGATTATAGATCTAGAGAAATATATGAAACCCACTTCACTGTAATGAACTATGGAAAGAAACTTTAATAAATCCATTATGATGAATTCATTTAATTATTTGAAGTTGAAAATCCTGAAGTTAAATGGCAATCGGTCCATGATAAAATAAAGGTTTTGGTTAAGGAATTATTTATTGCTGTAGCAAGTAAATATCCTTAAATGCAATCTGATAAAGTATATATGTTATTTTTTAAATAATTGTTTTTTTATTTTTCAATAGTCTAGAGCTGTATATGGAATGGATGTTATGATTGAAAAAAATAGCTTATAACCTAAATTACTTGAAATGACTTTTGCGCCTGATTGTGAGAGAGCATGTAAATATCATCCTCATTTTTATAATGATATGTTTGAATTGTTATATTTAAATAAGGTAAAAAAATAATTTTTATTTTTGTTATTGTTTTTTATTTGTTTTTTTTAAAAAAGGATGATTAATAAAATTATGAAAAAATTGTTTGAAAATAAAAATATTATAATTACATATTTTTTTATTTTTACAATAATCATGTATTTTCGAAAAGAGGACAATTAATTAAATAATCATCTTATTTAAAAACTTAACAATCAAAATCTAAAAAAGGTGAATTTGGTAAACATACCCTTAAAAAAATAAATGCGTTTTCCATAAAATAATTTTTATCTAAAACAAATTAAGAATTAACTTTAAAAAAGGGAATTTTAAATTTTCCTTCTTATAAATTATCGAAAGCATTAAAAAGTTAAAAAACAGTAAAAAGTTTAATTTCTTAGTTTATTTTTAATTACATAAACAAAAATAAATTAATATTTAATTAAATCTGTTAAAAATCTCTTCTTTCAGAAAAAATACAAACTTAATTATTATCAAAAACATAAGATTTTGTTTAAAAATATGCTTATTTTACCATATTTTTATAATAAAAACCATACTATATTTGACAGTCTTTTCCTTTTTGACCAAATATACTTATATAGTCGATATATAGTATAAATCCTTCTTATGGATTATATTTTTACGGCTGATATTCTTATTTTTTTACAATATAAAAATCTTAATTTTCTTCCTAAAGATTTTTTAGGATGTAGTTTAATTTAAAATTAACCTTATTTTCTTAATTTTGTTTCTCTATTTCGTATTTTAAAGCCTTTATCTTTTCTAGTTATTCTCTTTTTTTATAAAATTCTCTACTATTAGGATGTAATTTAACAATCTCTAATAAAATTTACTCTTCTTATTTGTTAAATTTTTCATATGTGTTTTCTTTTTATATAGTCTTGCATCCTGCAATATGTTTTTCGTCTAAAAAATTATATTCTTTATCTATTTTAAACTTAAATTAATCCAGCTCGTTGAAAAAAAATAAAGGAACGTCAGTCTAATTAATAAATGTATGCTATATTAAATGTTCTTTTTCCTTTTTTTAATCCATTCTTTAAATAAAAAGGGCATTTGGATTATTTATATATTGAATATAATTATTTTTTCCTTAAAAAAATTAAGAAATATTCTATATATTACAAATAAATTCTGCATTTTATCCCCCTTTTTAAATATATAATTATAAAATCGAAGATATTTAATTCTATATTTTTATATCATGAGGTTTTATTTCCTATTTTTATTTATGAAAATTTTCTGAATTTTAAAAACTTTTTAAATTTTCTAAAAAAGATATTGAATTTTATCCAGTTTTTTTTAAAAAATCATTATCCATTTTTATTAAAAAAATAAATAATATAAATATAATTAAAATAATATTATATAATATATTAAATATAGTTTTCTTTAATATTTATAAAAATAAAAAAAAAAGCCAAATGAAAATTAAAAATGAAAAAAAAAAAAATAAGTAAATTAAATAGTAAAATAAATAAATATTATTTAACAATTAAAAATAAAAAAGTTTAATTAAAAAAAAAAAAATTACTAATAAATATATTAAAATAATATATATTTAAAAATATTAAAATATTATATTTTTAATAATATTAAAATATTATATTTTTGTTAATTATAATTAATTTAAATAAAAAATAAAAAAATAAGTTATTAAATTTTATAAATTTTAAAATAAATAATATTATTATAATAAATATTAAATTGATATATAAATATTTATATATATTTTAAATATATATATATATAATATATATATATATATATATAATATTTTATTTAATAATTTAATTTAATCTTTATATTTTTATTTTATTAAATTAATGTTGAATCTTATAATCATTTTTTTACTTTTTAAAATTCACAATATAGTTACTTAAATATGTTTGTTATATTAATATATATATATATATATATATATATATATATATATATATATATATATATATATTTTACTATTTTTTAATTATTGTCAAAATTGTTTTTATTTATTTTAACTTCATTTTTCTTAAATATAAATTTTATATTAATTTCAAAAATATTTATTTAATTTATTATCAAACTATATTGATTATTTAATTAGACTAATTATCAGAATTTGATTCAAATTTAATAATTCTATTAGTATATTCATCAAATTTTTAACTAAAATGTTCGAAAACGATTGATTTTGTTATTTAATTTCTATCATCATTATCAGAAATGCTTTCAGAAGCAAAATACTTTTTGAAAATATTATTTTCGTTTTTTAGATTTGCTAAAGAATTCATTTAAAACCTATTATTATTAGTTAAATTAATTGAAATTTATATATTTTCTTCATCATTTTTTTAAGATGAACTATTATTATCGTTAAAAATTCTTACATTGCTATTTAATTATCGTATAGTACTTGCACTTTTTTATTAATCTTCCTATATATTTTTGAAAGAATTAATTTATTGTTATTAAATAAGCATTCGTTATTATTAATAATAAGCAATTTGGAATTAAAAAATCAGATTTATTTATTATTATGTTAATAGGTTTATTTAAAAAGTTGTTATATTATTTAGATATTAAAATTGTTATTCTGTAATTTAATTTATATCAATTTTATTTATTATTTCATTTAATTTTTATAATTCTTATATCTCATTTTGGTACATATATTCATCTTCTTCCCATATTTATTCACTTTCTCCTTTTTCTTTTATTTCTTGCGAAATTTCTTACATATTAACTACTGCGAGTATTTCTTTAAATTTACCTAATTTTCTTGAATTATCTATTTTAGCTACTTTCTTTATCTTCTATCTACATAAGTAGCATTCTCCTGTTTTCTTCCATATATCTAATGCACACTAATAACATAATCCTTATTTACATTATATTTATTTTTAAGAAATGAATTTATATGTTTTTTTACCTCCATGACAACAATCTATTATTACAGTATCAGGTGGTTTATCAAAACATATTATACATTATTAAATCGAAGGTGTAGATGATTAATTTGATTAATTTTCTTTTTTAACTTATTTTTTTTATTTAATAATAGATTCTTTTTGAGATTTAGTTTAAGTGATTTTTAAATCCTTTTTTTTGGTTTTTATGTATTGAATTGTGTTTTTGTTCATTTCGGCTTTCTGGTAATAAGTACATGACTGCTTTACTAGAAATTTAGGTATGTTTTTTGGAATTATATTCGATAATTAAAATATTTTTATTTTTTGAGAATTTTTATCTAATTATGTTTATTTATTTAATTTTTTATCTTAAATTAAATATATATTACTTTATTATGGATTATTTTCAATAATGTTTATTTGTAAGTTATTTTGTTAATCTTGTTATATGTTATCGTTATTTTGAAAGTTTAAAATATTGTTTCTTTAATTATTTAAATATTTATCTTTATTCATTATATTCTCTGTGTTTGCTAAAATAATGAATATTCTTAAATATATAATAATTAGAATAAGAAAGAAAAAAAACAATGTAAATAAAAAATTTACATACTTTAAATCATTTGAACACAATATTGTATATAATACATTCAAAACACTTATTCCTGTGGTAAAAAAGCAACTATTTTTTAGCACACTAAGGTCATTTTCCATTAAATAATGTAATAGGCCGACTAAGAAATAAAAATATCCTCCAACAATATATATACTAACAATAATGCACCAAATAAGACCTTTAACTTTAATTATAAAAATAATATTAAATATAATACAAACTATGTTTTATAAAAATAACTTTAATATATATCTGTTTATCCAATGAGAAAATAATAAACAGTACATATAAAAAGAACAAGCAATCCAATAACATAAAAACCTAAAGAACTTAACAAAATCCAAGACGGAAGGAAAATAGAAGGCCATTACCAATCAACAAATGTATCAAATTAAATACTAAAAAGTAAAATTTAGCAAACACAATAAATGCGTATTAAAAGTTCAATATGTCTATTTATGTTTTCATTAGTTTTATTGGTATAAATAATCCACCAGAGAATATGTATAAAAGGACTATATGCATAAAGAAAAGTTAGCTTAAAATAAATAAGTTTAAGGAAAATAAAAGTAAAAAGCATAGATATATTTATAAACAAATTTTCCACAATATCAAAAATTATTTCATTTTTATTTTCTATGATTACGTTTTCTGATGTTTTTTTGTACTATGATATTTTTTTATACACCAAAAGTTTATGGAATGTAAAATAAATACTGAGAATGAAAAAAATCATAAATAAAAGCCATTATAAAATTTCTACATATAATATTAAAATAAAGAAAAAATTTAAAAGCATAAAACTTAATAAATAATTTAGTGATTTTTTAAATATGTCTTTAGCTTTTTCTTTTTCTTTTTCTTCTTTTTAAATATGAGGTAAATTTTCAAAACTAAAGCTTTCATTTTATACTTATTACTAGTTATTTATTTATTATTCCTATTATTAATTCATGTTTTAATTGTTTTATTCATCTTTTTAACTTTTTATTTCTTCTTCTATTTATTCACTTTATATTTCTTCCGTTTCCTCATATACTTTGTCTTCTTCATCTTCTTCATCTTCTTCCTCTTCTTCCTCTTCTTCCTCTTCTTCCTCTTCTTCTTCTTCTTCTTCTTCTTCCTCTTCTTCTTTTTCCTCTTCTTCCTCTTCTTGCTCTTCTTTTTCTTCCTCCACATCTTTTTCTGTTTCTTCTTCTTCTTCATATTACTATTATTGTTTTTTTTCTTCTTCGTTTTCTTCTAATTTTTTTTCTTCAATTTTTTTTTATAGATTTTAATCATATGGCTAGTTTTTTTACTCTTAATATGTTTTTGATTCTTCTTTTTGTATATAAGTTGGAGGAGTATCAGGTTAAACTACTTCTTCATCTTCGTCACTAGATTTTTTTGGATGTTTATAAAATGAACGATTTGTAAATGAATAAGATTTTTCATATTTTAAATCGCATATTTATGCAAAATTATTATATGCGAAAATGTTTCTTTCAAATATCTGCGAATCATTATTTGTGGTTATACTATTTTGCAATATTTCGATATTGGAATTATCTATTATTTCTGTTTTTAATTGTTTTTCTCTCTTTTTATATTAATTTTTTTTCATATTTTTTTATATAATACTTTCGATGTTTATATGAATTTTTGTACTTTTAATTAATTCATTTTTTTGTAATATTTTAAATTTTTATATATTTTTCAACAGCAACAAAAATTAAATTTATTTAAAAGTTTTATTTATTATAACAGATAATATAAAAAATATATTTATTTAATTTAAAATAATTATTTTTAATCTTTTATTATAAGTTTTTAGATTATTGCTTTTAAATTTTTCTAATTTTTATTTATTTTAGTAATTTTTTTTGTATAAAATTCTTTTTTTCAAAAATTTGAATAATGACAATAAAATATTAAGACTAAAATAATTTATTAATGTTTTTTAAAATTATTATTATATTAATTAGTTAATGCAAATTATAATTACTTCTTGTTTTTGAGTTTAAATATAATATTTTAATAATTTTAAATAATATTTTATTTAATTAAAATAAATGTTTTACAAAAAGATAATTATTTTAAAGTAATTAAAATACATTTTTTAAATTTATCTAAAATTAAAATATTTTAAAAAAATATGAGCGATTTTGAATCTTTTGAAAAGTAAATAACAAATTTTTTATAATAATTTAAAATTAATTCTGACAAAAATGAAATATAATAATAAATTCTAAACTAAAATGAAGCATAGATATTAAATATACTAAAAGTATTTTAATAAAAATTTAATATTTCTTTTATAAGAAATAATATATATATAAATATTAATATTTTTACAGAGTGATTATAAATAAACAGATTAGTTATTCCAAAAATAAAATATATTCTAAGATTTCTACCTACTAATTTAAAAAAAATTATATAGCAAGTTATTTATTTTTATTAAAAATAACAAAATAATATATTATTTATCATTATAAAAAAATTAAGGAAAAACATGGCTTCTATTCATTTATAAATTAATTAAAATCGCGTATTAAGATATAGACCTAATGAAAAACTATTATTATTTCGTAAAAAGTTTTATTCCAATATTATTATCTGTGTAAGCAATAAATCAAAAAATGGAATAATAAAATGTATAAAAACAAACCTAATAGATATAATAAAAATAAGTGTAAGTATAAATTAATTAGGAGAATAATGAATAAAATGATAATAATAATAATAATAATAATAATAATAATAATAATAATAATAATAATCATAATAATTAAAATAATGAAAATAATAATAATTATACAAATGACAGTAATTTTATATTTTTTTTATAAAAAATATATATTATTTATTTAATATATAGTTTTATCTGCTATTATTATAAAAATATATAATTATGAAAGAATTTAAGTTTCTAATAATTCTAAAGTATAGGATTTAGAAATTTTTAATATATTTTAATCTTTTAATGTAATTTCTTATTTTCTTATTTTTTATTATTAACTATTTATAAAGGAGAAATATTCCAAATATTTACATGAAAACAAAAAAACAAATTAATCTTAAGATAATAATAAAATTTAATGCTAATAATATAATAAAATAGATACTATATCTCCTTAATAGCATTTATTATTAGTAATTTATTATATTTTATACTATTTTAATATTTTAAATTATTATAAGATAGAAGTACTTATTATATGTTATTGTTTTAATTTGAATAATTACTTCTAATTTGTAATAAGCGATTTTCTAAAAATGATATATTTGTAATTTTTATTATATTATTTTAAATAATAAATTATAAAAAAAGGTTTATGGGTGTAAATTTAAATTTAAAAGATTTAGTTTATGATTCTATTATATTATAAATCAAAATAAATTAGGCATAAATATTAATTACAAGATTATCTGAATAAACTCTCTAAGTAGACAAATATCTATAAAATTTTATATAATTTTTATTTATAAATATTAATAGGAATTAATCTTAGCTATATATGATATATTAATTGTTTAAAAATAATATAAAAAATAAGCAAATTATTGTTTAGATTTGTTATTATAAAAAACAAGTAATGAATCATAATTTAAGGTTAATTATAAAAATATATATAAGAAATAAAAAAAAAATTAAAGTTAGCAGATTTGTGTTAGGCAGTATTAGAATAAACTTAAGATGAATATGATGATTTTAATGATTATTGATAATAAATAGAAAATTAAATAAAAATATTTTAAAATTAAATAAATTAATATTGTAATAAAACTAAAAAAAAAATTATAAATAAAGTTAAACATATATAAAAATAGTAAAGAAAATAAATATATATTAAAAAAAAATTAAAAATAATAAAAAAATAAATATTATAAATTAAATATAAATAAATAAAAAAAAAAATTATGAATAATAAATAATAAAAATTAAAATAATAAATAATAAATA